TTTTGAATCATGTCCAGAAAAATAGTTGACTCCACGTTGTTTTGTTATTGAAAATATTAGCGGAGTATTCAAATCAATACCGACACTAACAAATGTTGTATAAATACGTTGTTTTGCTAATTGGTCAATACGTGAATAAAAGGATTTTTCATTCAAACAGTCAGGATTTGGTTGTACATCGGTTATAAATAAGATTAGATTATCGTAATCATCATCTGTCACCAATGAAATTGTCTTAAATAACGATACACTACATTCAATACTAGCATTCATATTTGTACCTCCATTAGCATGAATTTCTAACAAATGATTTTTCAACTGTTCGATACGAATCTCAGTTAATTTCTTCATCATTTCAGCCACATGCGCTTCACTATTAAATGTAATAATTGCTAGCCGATTATTCGGCTTTAAATGATTCAATACAATAGTTTTTACATAGATTTAAATTTTATAAACTATCTTCGACAGCAAAGGATGCCAAATTATTTTAATATTTTATACTTTCGAGATTTTTTATTTCTGGATTATCACTTTTCGTGATTTTGCATATTGGAATTTTTTTTTGGAATTTCCATTGTTTGATGATTGTTCCTCTTCAAGATTTCGTTCATTCGAAATTAAAAATGTCGATCTGTTTCCTTCTAGACACTGGATACTATAGCATTTCAGCATTTTTTCTGTCGATAGATGCACGTATCTGGTTAAGGAAACGATAGTTACCCAAATTTAACTTATCGTTAGGTATCAAATCGAAATCATCTCGTCTATCACCTGATCGCTGTAGGCAGTTACAATATATGTCGATGCATATTATGTAAATTTAGGATGAAATTTTATGTGAGAAGATTAAAATAAGATCAAAAATAAAAAGTGTAAAATATAATATTAGTTTCGTCTCTCCATATCCTATGATCACACAAAAAATAATGTCTTTGTTAATCACAAAAAAGTGTCACGATGTTTAATTTGCATTCATCATTTTCGACGTCTCTTATTCATCGTCATTGAGTATGACGACCCTATCGACTTGCAAACTGTTTATGTCGAACTTTTGCAGCTACACGATTTGGATTAAATATTTTATCGAGTTTGGTGAAAAAAGCAAATATCGCTACCGTCTGTATTACACCCATCACAAGCATGGATGCAACAGTTGTCATTGCAACAGGTTGTTTACAATACTCTTCGAAGTTTTTGGCTGACAAGACTACTATTTCAGGTATTGTTGTAGGCGTTGTTGTTGGCGTCACACCTTAAATGAAGCATAAAACACAACGTTTTAATCATGTCAGAACAAGTTTTACTAGTTGTCGTTGTTTCCGTAGTTGTTGAAGTGGTTGTTACTGTCGTTGTCTGAACAGTTGTTGCACTTGTGATAACAATACCAGTCGTGGTCAAATTCGGATTCGGGATAGTAGTTGATATCGGCTGTTAGTACAAATGAAATGAAACGTAGTCTCCTTCCTATGATACATGAAATCATGTGCTTACTCGTGTGGTAACAGTGCCCGTCGTTGGAGGAGTAGTTGTTGTTGTCAATGTACTTGAAACACCTGGATCCCAAATGTTGAAATTCCAGTAGTTTGGATCTTTTTTTTTTTTTAGAAAAAAATACTTTATGGAAGATCTAACAATACCATACAACAAGGTTACCTATAATAGGATCCGATTCAGGAGAGCAAAATATATTACCCGATGCAGCTCCACTAGAGAATAAAATATAGTAGTATGCACCGGGAGTCCAATTAGCATTTTGGACATAGAACAAGACCGTGTTTCCAGTATAAATACAATCCGGTGAATAACCACAATCGACTTGCCACTCAGGAGTCAATGGATTTGCTTTGTTGAAGATTTGAATGTACGTACCGTTTCGACTAGGACGGTAGACATTACTTGTAGCTTCAATACATATGAAAAATGTATTTTATGCTCGATAACTTCAAAAACATAGCTTACCTTGAATGCTAAATAAAGATTGATTTGCAAAAACTGTTCCCAATGGTGATGCTGATCCTGAAAATAGCAAAAACCGATGAGATCTTGAAGAAAATTAAATAGGGAACGACCTTGAACTAGAATCGGAGTGACGAGATTTGGTGCAAGATAACCAACAACAAAATTAATACAGTGTTGAGAGCCAGTCAAGTTCTTTTGATCAATGGGAGCAGCGCAAAAAACCTATTCAGATTGAATTTGAGATTTTTCTCTCAACTATCTGATAAAACTTACTTGAGGTCCTATCTGATCAGTAGTTGGTGTCCATGTCAATGTAATATACCATTGATTACTAGTACCACTAACAGGGGCTATGGTTGTTTTTATCATATATAATGGCGAAATAGTAACAAATTCATTGATGTAATCACCAGCACAGTAAACAGCAGCAACAATACGTTCACTATGTTGTACACCAGGTAGGACACCTAAGAATCGATTGCACAGTATAGTGAATGATTTTTGTGTTAGCGTCTTACCGATACACGCTCGATTAGGACGATCACCAATAATTTCAGGTTTGGTACTACAAGCTCCAGATGCTGGTTGATATGTAAAAATAAGCCTAATTCAAGAATAGTCATTCAGAAATACAATGAAAAAAAACATGAACGAAATCGATTAATATTCTTACATTTGTAATGGAACCGAGCTCATAGGTATTGTACTTGCAGTATTTACGAAATCTTCTACCATGATTGCTACCACATAAGTACTTGTAGCTCTACCTCTACTGATATCATATGGTCGTCGCACAGCATCCCAAGTTATCGTGCATTCACTATGGAACGAAGAAAATAAATATTTTTGTTACAAAATTTAAGAACAATTATGCGGATCTATGGAAAGAGACTAACTGACCTAGCTGATAGATTTGCACCTGATAAATTATTACATATGTCACCACATTCATTTCCAGCAGCACCGGTACTACTTGCCCAACGACAACGAATATCATCAGTTCGATCCCAATCGGCTCTTGGAATTTGAATGATGGCTCTTTGTCCTTCGATGACACGAATGAGAGGCAGAGATCCAGTCACTGAAACAATACGCACCATATTGATATCAGTTATTGTTTTTTGTTTTTCAAGAAACTTACCTGGTGATGAGTTGATAGGATACTTTTGTGTGAGATCAATACGAGTTACTACGGCCCACCCTGATGCAGATGTATTAGAAGATGTCTTTAAGATTTCAGTAGCCCAATCGCCTCCTGTAAATCCGACTACGATATTCGTATTACGATTCAAAGTCATCTTCTTAATTAAAGCTCCACTACTGATTTGTACGATATTACAAAAATCAGTGCAGTAATTATAGTTACTGAAGGGTGAAAAGCCTGTTCCTGTGCAACTAGTTACAGATGTCTGACAAGCAATAGTTGCACCTGAACCACCACCGCTTGTATCTGCGTATAGACCTAAGCTGGCTATTTTTACCTGATTGCATGGAAAACGAATTAATGTCCATGAATGAGATTCATAAATAATAATTTCAACAGTACTTGCATTGGTATATGGATCAACAGGTTTCCAATTAATTAAGCCGCCCTGCAACACATCGGGAAGATATTCATTCGTTGCATCATATTATACTCTTACTTTGTAATGAGCAGCTCTTACAATTACTGTTAATATCGACAGTTCAAGCAGAAGAAAAGTCATTTTGTTTCAGACTTGTCTGAACAGAAAATGCAATGATGTCTGTTTGTTCGTTCACTGCTTATAACAAAGAATCAAGATTGACTGATTAGTATTGTTGAAAGATTTGTTCGATTCAGTAAATATTAAATAAATATGGATCAAATGAATAAACAATACTTGCTATAACGTTTTTGAGCACGCTAATGGACAAATTTTGATTTTTCTTCAGATAATAGGACAATTAAGAATTTCTAAAGAACAATCCACTATTTGATGAAGAACGTTGCAAGTGGTTGTGACGATTTTCGAGACAAGAAACGTTAACACTGATAGAACTATGCCTTTATTATATTTCTTCGTATCAAGAACCGCATCGTTTTCATACAAAGCATACGCTTATATACTCGAGCATCAGAGAGAAAGAAAGAATATGAATGTAAACGATAATAAGGACAGAAAGCAACAGCAATAAGATACGGACAAAGTACAACATGATGTACGAAGTAAGGACAATATATATTAGGTTGTCAACAAAAGTTCTTGCATTTTTTTTTAAATTTTCTAAAACATTCGAGAAAGTTTTAGAAGTTTCCATACTAAGGGTATATAAAGGGAGTATGAATATCTTTCGAATGATAATAAAGACATCGATATGGACGTTGATCATGGACTGAAAGTGAATCTTTCTCGTAGAGAAATTCAGGTGCTTTTACTTTATGAATTCTGTCTGGGTCACAAAGTAACGGAAGCAGCCAACAACATATGCAGCACGATAGGCAAGGATGTGCTCTCCATCCGTACGGTGCAACATTCGTTCAATCGCTTTAAGAACGGTAACTTTGAACTCGACGATTTACCTCGCTCCGGTAGACCACTGGAACTGGATATGGATCTCTTAAGGCAGCTTACCGAAGAAGATCCTCGATTGACAAACACTACGGTGTTTAGCAGAGAAGCTGGGAGCTCTTATACTGCGGTGGCAAAACATCTGAACGAATTAGGCAAGACATGGAGATATGGAGTTTGGATGCCCCACGAGTTATCACCACATCAACTTCAACACAGGGTTGATGCATGTATGAATTTAATGAGATCGCACCGCAACTATTAATGCCTCCGCCATCTTATCATTGGCGATGAGACGTGGGTGTGGATGTGAGCGTGAGACCTTAGAAGGCCCACTCACACCCACACACGCCCCTGATCTCTACTATCAGCAATTGGATCGGGTTGCCAAAAAACTCAAGGAAAAGCAGGATCAAATTTACTGCTTGCATGATAACACGAGATCCCATGTTTCAAAGTCGACGCGCGAAAAATTATTGAAGCTCGGATGGATTAGCGTTCCTCATCCACCTTATTCTCCTGACCTGGCTCCAACGGAATACCATTTGTTTCGTTCTCTTTCTAACTATATGCGTGAGAAAAAGTTCGACGACGAGAACGACGTCAAAATGGAACTCGTCAACTTCTTCGGTCAAAAGTCCCAAGACTTCTACGAACGCGGGATCCTATCTCTGACAGAGCGTTGGCGACAAGTCATAGATAGCAATGGTGCATATATAATTGAAAGCTAGTTGTACTGTTGGAGTTGAAAAATAAAAATAAAATTTTTGAAAAAAAGCGCAAAAAATTTGTTGACAACCTAATAATTACTACATACCCTAGTGTCAAACGAGAAATCACGTGAATATGAAAGTGATTAAATCGTGCAGCTGGTCATGTTTGTTTTCCAGGTGTCTCTTAATTCGGACCTTATGGCTTGAAATGAATATGTATAACAAAAGCTGTTAGCGCAATCCCTTGCTGGATTAAGTGTGAAACACGATGGAGCTATTGTTACGAATTAAATGGACAATGTTTTCTTCCATTCTTTTACGATAGATTTGTAGCTGACCGTTTATTTGATGCTTCAAATCTACAATTTCTCTGTTACAGTCTGTGATGGTCTTTGAAGGTTCTCTCTCACGATCTGTGGAGTCTATGGGCTTTTTTATTTCAAACTGAATTCTAAAATCAAAAAAACCGCACCAACTTCTTCCGAATCAAACTTTTCTCGTTTGATACTACGTAGTCCCACTAAAAACCCTTAGTCCCCCCTAGTCCTGCAAAGTTCCCCTTAGTCCCCCCCACAAAAAGCTTAGTCCCCGCTTAGTCCCTTGTGCAGGGGACTAAAGCCTATAGTACACAAAGCCACAAGCACACCCTCACCCTCACTCGCGCGCCCACACCCGCACCATGGGTGTGGGTGTGTGTGTGGGTCCCAGATCAACACCCACACCCTCAGTCACTCCCCCCCTCACTCCTAGACTCACGTTTCAGTTTGAAATCAAGTATTATTTTTATTTGATAAATTCAGACTGAAATTAAATAGCCCATAGTATGGATCTGTGATGGGTATGGAATTTCTCTGTCATGATTTGTGGAGAGGGCCGGGGAATGGGTCCAAAATGTCTACCCTATACACTTCAATACTCCTCTCAGATCGTGTTTTACAAAAGTTAGCGTAAAAATCAGAAGAAAATCAATTAAAAAATGATTAAAAGTCGATTAATAAAATCATACGCTTTTACTCGGAAATAACCGAAAAAAATCAAGGTTCCATGGATTATTTTGATTAATTTTGATTATAATCGATTAAAACTTGACGAAAATAATTGATTACAATCGATGCAAATCAGAAAAAAATCAGTTAAATATTTTTGTCATTTGTTCTGAAGAAAAACCAATTAAAATTTATGTTTTTTCTCAATTTTTATGCGACTATAATCGAAATTAATCAAAATAATCAATAAAATCTTAATTTTTCGGTTATTTTCGAATAAAAGTGTGTGATTTTAATCGATTTTCATCTAATCTTTACCCTAATTTGTTTACATGGGAAAGATCAGCAACTGTCTAATATGGACCTGGACTCAAAGTCGATCTTCGGATAGGAGCAAGAAGTCTGAAATAGAAAAGTGATATTTAAAGTTTATTGTAAAGTGCTTCATATAGATGATAGTACCAAAAAAAACGATAGAAGCCTAATATAGAGGACATCGAAACTCATGTTTGAAATCATAAACAGCCACCCTCAAAACCGAAACTGTGTGGGTACGTGATAGTCTACAACACATCATGAATCAGACGTCATGCGACGAACAGTTTGGCATAAATTGCTCAGATATTGCTGCAACTCTGGCGGTTTTGTGTGAACTAATTTTCTTCGATAACACATATCGATATCTGAATCTGCAACTTAGCGAAAACCATTCGACAACAAGCTATGACTCTTTCTCATCATAGGTCTGTTCTTTGACTTACGTGGAGTAAATATGACTTGTTTGTGACATGCAGCCTGTGGTACATGCTCAGCTCCACAAACAATTCACGAGAAAAACCTGCGCCCAATAAATAGAAAGAGTAATAAATATTAAACTGTACTCACCGTTCTGTTGCAATGAAGACTAAATGGAAGTAACACCTTCTATATATATATATATGCGACAAATGTACACTTCTTGTGCGAGGGTTGCATCGGATTTGGAGAACGTGCACAAACAAATACAGTGGAATAAAAAGCACCCCAGAGATGAAATGAAAGAAAAATAAACTTCGAATTACTTTCAATCTTATTTGCGATTCATGTGAGATTGAAGGCGGCAACTATATTCTTTTGTGAGAGAAATGTGCATAATTTGTGTGAGAGTTGCCTTAAGCTTGGAGAGTGTTCACAAATATATACACTGAGGAAAAAACCCGATCGCAGAGGAGAAACGAAAGAAAACGAATTTCGAATTACTTTCGCTCTTGTTTGCGATATATGTGATAGGGGTGCAACGGTGACGAAAACCGTAGGTACGGTTCAGAGGCCGAAACGGGGTGAATTTTAGCTCCCTCGCCTCGTCTCGCCTCAAACAATCTTTCGCCGCGTCGCCTCGCCTTGAACTCAAAGTTCTTTTTTCGTCAACTCCCCCCACCTCACCCTCGCCTTCCATTTTTTCTTTTTCGCCTCGCCTAGGTCGGCCCCGTGTAGGTTGCTCTTCGCCCCGTCCCGCCTTGTGTGAGTCTCTCCTCGCCCCGCTTCATCCCACCCCGCCCCATGTGAGTTTCTCCTCGCCTCGCCCCCGGTTTAGTTTTGTCTCTTCGTCACTTTCTTACATGTTTATAAGATATTTGTATTTTTTTGACCCCATCATTTATTTGACAACATATTGCAAGTAGATACGAAAACACATGAGTATAATGTAATACACAGATGATGTGGGCGTGGGTGTGCGTGTGCGTGTGGGTGTGGGTGTGTGGTTGTTGGTCTCCTCTAGGCATGCACCCAAACCGTTTGGGTCACTTCTGCCCAAATAAGGAAAAATCCCCTTATTTACTAAACCATGCTATACAACAGTTTTTCTTCAGTGAAAAACTTAAGTAGGAGGATGATACTATAGAATACCAAAAGAGAGATTTCGGCAACCTTCTTAGACTAAATACTAGTGTCAATGACAAAACCCAAACCCAAACCCAAACTCATTGGGTTTGGGAGGTTGTTCAGTTCTCTCGGAATATCTCATTTAATGAAGCAGCACATTTGATCATTTTCCATTTAGTTGTCAAAGGCAGACTTTCTTCAATATTAATGACGATACAGTTTATTGATACAGTTCATAATCATTAAGATAAGTTTGAAATACCCAAATTCTTCTATGGAGTTTGGGTGCATGCCTAGTCTCCTCCTGACCCGCACCCACACCCACACCCTTGTTCACAAGAATTCCTGTAATCGGATATCTGTAGATTTCATGTATATATATCTCAGCGTTCCATTTTAACCCTGACACGGCAACCTGAGGTCCGCCCGGACCCCAAAGATGTTTCCAGTCAATGTTATTTGCACGATACTCTTAGACGGAACTTCGCCTCCCTGGGTATGCTTTCATGAAGTGTAGTAGAGTAAGTTGATGATATCAGCCGGTTATTGTCATTTGTTGTTGATATGATAAACTATGTCGAAGTACATATATACGCTTGTTGTCAACCTGGGG